TAATCCATTTTACTTTTAGTAAATAAGATGTTTAAACTGTCATCCAACTCTCCAATTAACAGAAAACATTAAGATATGACATACGTTAACTACTGATGAGGTTCGTTACAACTAAGTAATACTTAAAGCATGTACATGAAAATAAACGTCTAAGACACTTAATGGATTTTTTTCTGATTTTTTTTTACAATTTCGACTTCAATGGTTGCAATATGATCGCTATTCACGATAACGTTATATTACTAGTATTAACGTGTTTATTTTTAAGAATTTATCAAACTTTTACCAACAATTGTCTGAAACAAGTTTTTTATTAATTAATTTCCAATTCCAATGTTATTTTTAATAGGCAAAGTGTAGTTAATATGACAATAAGAAGATGTGGTATGTTTGCCAATGAGACAACTCTCCACCAGAGACCAAATGACATAGAAGTTAACAACTATAGGTCATCGTACGCTTTCAAAAATGAGCAATATCCATGCCACATAGCCGGCTATATAAAAGGCTCCGAAATCACAAATGTTAAACAATTCAAACGAGAAAAATAATGGCCTAATTTATGTAAAAACAAATAACGAAATACAAATATGATATACAGCAACAAACGACAACCACTGAATTACTGGACCCTGACTTTGGACAGGCATACACAAAATGTGGCGGGGTTAAACATGTTAGCGGGCGCCAAAACATCCCCATAACCTAGGACAATGGTGTAACAGTATATAAGAACAAACTATAAAAATCAGTTGAAAAGGGCTTAACTCATAGGTCGATACAAAGCAGAAAAACCAGTAAGAAAAAAAACAGATCGGACGTTGCATGGTATTTATACAACCCTATATCAAAAAGGACACTAAGTACTGATCTGAGAGTTCTCGCAGTTACTGACAGCTACAATGTAGATAAAAGCCAATAAAAACTAATAAGAAAATCATGTATATTAAGGCCGTTTTCATAATACTAAGTGTGCGGTGTTGTATGCTGATATGGTCTGTCGTACCGTACGTCCAGCATATTTTGTGATTCCTGTTAACCTTTGTAACTATGTAATAAGATTGAGTTTACTTTTTTGGTTGAGATTATTTCTGGTAGAGGGGAGACAACCCATTTTGATTTATGTTCTGTCGCCCATTTCAGATGTATGTCCTAAGTTACACATGCATGTAATGCATGTCGCTTCGGTGAATGTCTCTACTAAAAATTCTCTATCAATGAATACATTTATGAACTGTCAAGATTGATGATATACGATGTCTACCCAAAAACTATTGTGATATAATGGTTAGGAATTAAAAGCAACTGTCTCATTGTCTACAGTTATAGACAAATACTTTGTAGACTGATTTGTCTGTTGTATTGAGGCCTTTTTTTGTCCTTATTATTATCTTTTTGGGGTTTTTTTGGGTTTTTTTTTCTTGCCTCCTACGTTTCGGCCCAGATTGTGTCTGAATAAGGTCCAGACATTCGTTTTTAGTTCACAGAAATTATATCACTCTGTTTGAAAATCTCAGAAACTAGAAATAGTACAAATCAGGACAAAGCCATATGCCTATTGTACATTAAATTCTAATTGACAGACAATGTTTTTCGACCCAAAAAAAAATGGAACACATTTCCCACTTCCTAACATACAATTTTCTAAAAATGACTGAAATCCACTTATAATTTCCGGAAAATTGAAAATAATATAACAAGTGTTTTATTTCGAAATTTAGGTTCCGCTGTGAACTGTGTTTGTACTGCACATTCCGCACTGAAAGAACTATATATCTTTAATGTCTTTTTTTTATTCTTCTGCTGATTTAGCCGGTGGACAATTAGTCCACGATGGTATTACCAACCTAGAAACTCGGTACTTCGGTACTGGGATGACAACCCGGACATTATTTTATTGAAACAAGATGTAATGAAACTTTTGAAATTAAGATATGTATCTCCCTCGCACATACCTCTGATTCCCTATCCGGGTTTGGATATCGGTTAATTCTGTTGTCTTTTTAATTTTATTTTAATAACTTGAAGTTACATTTTGTTTAAAAAAATAGTGTCCTTTACGTAGGTTATTATTTAATTGAAAATAATATTCAAACTTTAACACGTTAACACTCATTTATTTGTAAAATATTTCAACATCATTATCTGAAAATATTGTGTCCATCTATAAAAAATAATAAAACAGTACATTGTTTATCAATCATCATGATCATTATTAGTACAAACTGATTAATTGTGTTTCTGGCATTTACAAAACTACCACAAACACAAGTTATGGCATAAAGTTATTACATATTGAATAGAGATCCGCTATTCAATAATGAATCTGTTGCGTGAAGTAGATATTTAGTTGAAGTTAAGTTAAAGTTAAAGCATTCGGTTTATCTGCTGTCTGATAAAAAGAAGGATAACATATTGGATATCTTGCATCGCCGTGTAGACACATATTGCATGTAAAACTAAAGGGTTTGTTGATCCCGATATTAAATGTAAATAACATGCCTTCTTTTAATCATATGCATATAACCTCATCTCTCTGCATTTTTCAAATTATGTCTATAGTTCTCTTCTGTTATTTGTATAGGGATTCATATCTTCCGATTTCTGTTAGTGTTTTATGTTTAGAAAAGGGAGGAATTAACAATTAGTCAATACATCAAAAGAATTACCATTGTTTACTGTTTAGTATTATCAGATAGAGGCGAAATATATTAAAGGGATATTCAAACTTGTTAGAAGAAATCAAACTTTGGACCTATGCTCTTTAAAAAAACTCGTCAAAGATACCAGATTTATTTTTTGGTATGCCAAACGCGTTTTTCTACATAAGACTCATCAGTGACGTTCAAATCAAAACAAACCCCTTCTATCCGCAGTCCGTTTAAGCTGTTCGTTAGATCAAGTACTGGATAATCGCTTTGATTGTTTCTTTCCTTAATTAATAAAACTTTTTTAGCACAAGCTTTCATTACCAAACTTCTTCAGTTTATATTGTTTGCTGTCAAATCTGACATTCATGTAACTTCCTAGTTTAAAACCTTGATGTTTAAAAAAAAACAAACGTTTTACAGCATTTCGTCTTCTTCATGGCGTCAAACGGGTCAATGTTCCAATTATGTATTAAAAGAGATGAAAGTATGCTTGACAGAAAAAGTTATTAAAATTACTTCTTACGGTTAATTATTCAAATGCATGTTGATTAGGTATTCAAATCAATAATGCGATCAGGAAAATGCAGCATTAGGTATAAAGAGTTTTGTGTAGTTAGAAACCATTTGAATGAAAATTCGAATCAAAGATTACTTACAAAAAAAAGCTGGCTTTAATAACAATTTCTTCTAATCACTTTTAAATCTGTCTTTTTTTGTGTTCAAAGTGTATTCGACAAAAATTTATCTGATAAGGCGAGTTAAGATATACGGTTGCAGGTTTTTTCTGAAGAATGTTATGAAATGCTGAAAAAATCTGTGTGTGCGCGTCTATGGAATAACGCTTCCATCTCTCCCTAAAAACACATACACTTATCCAAAACGACTCGAAATTCGTATCAGAAAATATGCGTATATTTTGAACGCTCACGATTCAAATCCGATAAAGAAATTAATGATTTTATAAATTAGCGTCAACGTTATTTTGTGATTGTCCCTAAAGTAAAATGTACTGTTATTCTTATTTGGATTTCGAATCCAACAGTTATTGTAAGATCTCTACAAGCACAATAGTTTGTTTGAAAGTCAATACATCTCATAATATAGAAAATTATAGATGTTAACAATTGAGTTAAAATTGAAAAAAAAATTGATTACATCTGTATTCGTTTGCTTTGTAGAAATGTAGACTGACGTTTGTACTCGTATGGGGCATTAATATCGATCTGATACTACATCACTGATGTCTCCAATTTCGCAGTATAAATCTTCTTCGATTTCAGGTTGAAAAATTACCATTTCAGTGTCTATAATATATAATCCAGTCTGAGCGTTCTGTGTCTGGGTTAACGATCGGCTTCGTTTTGCCTTCCGGCGTTTGATCTTTGGTTTTGAAGTGTCCTTCATTGATTTCTGTAAATTACGATAGAGTCTTTCTTTAACTTTCACGACCATTGTTACAATACAGACTAGACCAATAAGAGCAGCAACCATCAGTATGTAAACTATTACGGTATCTTTCGATTTATTACTGTTTTGTCCTGAATTCAGATTGTTTACCTCATCTGAAACATCAGAAATTTTGATCAGTCACCGATGATCAATATTATTAATAAAACTATGTCTATTAGATATAATTGTTTATCTGCAAATCTTAATTTTTCGCTGTCCCCCCTCCCCTCCCCTAAGAAAAAACAACAACTAATATTTAGCTTATACCCTTTTCATAATTACTACGTTACCTCGCAATTAAGTACATGTAGTCCCTTGTCGATTTGCCTGTCGAAAATTTATAATTGTTGTTTATTAGAAAAGGATCTCAACTATAATTTGAAGTGTTTGCTTTATGGAAACGTTTTTCCACTTTTCATGATATTGTGTGGATGAAAATGGTATGGTAACCAGGTGATGATCAACGTAATTTTTAATATTCTATTTGGTTGGTAGTTATTGAGTTGGTTATTATTACATTATTGACTGATCAACAAAAAGTGTATAGGTTTTACAGGTTTAAGATTCGTTTAATGAACCAAATATAGTCATTAACGTTATCAAAAACCTTCTTTATGAAATCTACAACTTCAAATATCAATGAATTCAGTCGAAAGTTATGCATGACAAAGAGCAAAGCGTAAACGTTTACGTGTTTGTATGGGCTCCATCTGTCATAGTCTTGTAAGTACTTTGTCCTAGAAAACTTAGTTTTCTTAAATCCAGAAATGCATTTATTACTCCTGGTTCCACTCTGTTAGAAGTTTATGATTTTCTCAATACTTTTAGTTTTACTCCTAGATACATTTACTTGAACATAAAATTTGAGGACATTTGGAAGGCTTTTATGTATAGAAATACCTTTATGGGAATTGCATTCCCCTTTATCAGATTCAGGGTTGCATTGTATGCACTGTCCTGTTAGTACATCACACTGATCAACATCAGAACAGGCACAAATCTCACTACAATTCTTCCCAAATTTTCCAATTGGACATCCTATAAGAGATCATGATACAGTAATATTGTTTTTTATTTGGCTTTAAGTTTGGTAAATATAAAGATTTCTCTAAGAAATATTGTTTTATAATCCGAGATTACAAACTGATTTTACTGTTGCTGTTGTTGATATTTATTATTACATATCGATACTTTTTTTATAAATATCCAAGTTAATGACAAACATTGCTCCACGGGCCAATCTACAGGTCTGCAATGTACAAAAAAAGGTTCAATGAAAATGAAAACTCACGACATTATTATTTACCCTTTGTACAGTAATCCCCATACCATCCAGCAGTACATAAACAACCTCCAGTTACCGGATCACACTTAGCATCATGTCCACAAAAACATTCCTCTTTGCAGTTTACACCGTATGTTCCAGCTGGACATGCTTCAATGGAAATAAACTTTAATGTTAATCGTTACTAACATTTACACAACCATTTATATGGACTTCTTCATGTGCAATCAACCGTTCCTCATCGGGTAAATCTACACGATGTGTATACTATATTAATTTAGGTATAGCACCGATAATTCGACCCGATCAGAAAAAGCATACAAAAAAGTAGTACATATTTTAAAAAATTATAGTTCCTACGCAGAGCTGTAACTTTGTCAATAAGTAAAACATTTTGGTACTTTTTGTATCACATGAAAACTTAAGGACTTGGGATCACTGTGAAACCCTTCTTACAAGTTTCTTTCGAATAATACAAATAATTATGAAATTAAAATAGGAGGGCATATTTATATAAAAATAAGGAGATGAGGTATGATTGCCAATGAGACAACTATGCACCAAAGTTCAAATAAAGTGCATGTAAGCAATTATAGGCAACCGTACGGCCTTCAACAATGAGAAAACCCCGTATAGTCGGCAATAAAAGGCCCCGACATGAAAAATATGAAACAATTCCATTGAGAATACTAAGGGCCTAATTTATAACAAAACAATTAACGAAAAACAAATATGACAGACATGAACCAACGACAACCACTGAACTACAGGCCCCTGACTTGCGACAGTCACATAAAGAATGTGGCGGGGTTAAACATGTTTGTGAGCGCTCAACCCTCCCCTTAGCTGGGACAGTGGTGTAACAGCACAACATAAGAACAAACTATAAAAATCAGTTGAAAAAGGCTTAACTCATCAGATCGATACAAAGCAGAAAAAGCATCTAACATAAACACAGAACGGACGTGGCAGGATATTTATTCATCCCTCATCCTTAACAACAAAAAGGACACTAAGTACAGATCTGAGAGTGCTCGCAGTTACTGACAGTTAGTTCAAAGCCAATAACAACTAATAAAAAAAATCATGTATCTAAGACTAAAATTGCCCTGTTGCTCAGATCAGAAGTTTTTGTACTACCCAATTTCCGGTATATGTTGATTTTTTTCAGCACAAGTCAGAATAATGTATAGTTTTGACATGAAATGGCTATCCCTTTATTTGAACATAAGACAAAATAGCTATGAAGGCTTGAAGTTGAAGAATTTTACAATGGGGCTATGAATTAGTAGTGTTTTTCCTTAGGATAACACAAAAAAAACTTTATCTATTTATTATTTACTACTTGTGCAGTGATCTCCAAACCATCCCGCAGAACATAAACAGTCACCAGTTACAGTATCACACTCAGCATCATTTGCACATAAACATTCCTCACTGCAGTTCACACCGTATCTTCCGGATGGACACGCTTCAATGGAAAAAAAATCACATTTTTAATTGTTATTGACATACTGTAAGTTCAGAAATTATTGCGATGTTTTTATTATTGCGAAAAATGCGACAGGGTTATAATCGCAATAATTCAAACTCGCATTTGGAAATTTTTTTATATGAATTAAATAGGATTTTTCTCAATATCGCAAAAATTTAAATCGCATTTTAGTTTAAAATGACAAAATCGCAATAATAAATGCACGCAATAATTTCTGAATTTACAGTAAACACAAGCGCACTGGAAACTATTATCACAGAAAATATCACATTAAAAAGTATTTAACTTCCATTCTTAAATACGCAGTGAGTACAGAAACTACTTTTACCAATATAAATAAGGATGCTAAACACATATGTGACTTGTACACAAATCAGTTTAATATAACGTATGCATTTAAATAATGCAATTAAACGTATAAATAGCAGTTTAGGCATATATTCAACAACTGTTAAATCATAAAACAGTTGGGTGGTTGTACAGTTATTTTTGTACAGTATGTGAATTAATCTGATAAATATAGCTATGCATATTCAGGGTAATATCAGTTATGAATGAAAACTATTTACCTACCATTTGAGCATTCTGAACCGGTATACCCTGTATCGCAAACGCAGCCATGAACTGGGTCACACTTCTTATAATCTGCACAGTTACATAGCTTTTTGCACTGAACACCATGGTAATTATTCATACATGGCAGCGAACAATCTTGCCCATATTTTCCTGCTGGACATGCTGAACAAACAAACAAACAAAATAAAATGAAATGGGGAATTAAAAAATCAACTTAGAAAGATGCTTTTTAGACATTATATTAAGTATGCAAGCAGAGTGATATAACTTACGCAAAGGACTTTGATGAAAACGAAATCAACCATTGCATATCTCAATTGTGTTTCACGTTGTTAATTTTAATTGACAGTTAATGTTAATCACCAGGAGATCAATCAGCAGATTAGTTTGCATCTTTTTTTCCATTTCTCTCAAAAGTTCCCAATATCTGCAAAAACACCTCTTTATTGAAACTTTGAAAAGGTAAATATTCAAAGATGAAAAAATGTTAAAGAACAATAAACGGGCCATTTTACTCTAAACAATAATACCTTGACATTTTCCATTCTGGTTAACATAATCCGGACAACATTCTATTATCAATTGTGTTTCGTTAACAGAATGACTCCTAAAAATAAAAATAAAAAACATGAAAAAAGCAGTTACAAAGCATATTTTATTCTATTACTGGCGTCTAAGGTTAGGTTAATGAAAAATATTTACAATCAGGATTAATTTGAATGGCTGTTCGGAAAGCCTTATTAACTGTTCATGAAAAAATAACAAGTCATTTTAGGCCAAACTGAGGAAGATTTTTGAGTAAAAAAAAACCCGTTATCAAATGCACAAATTTGTAGGGATTTAATGATATATACAAGTGACAAATCTAACCAATGATGCCGTATGGGTCCTCGAGAAGCATGTTGAAAATCTTATATTTTTTTTTCTTCATTAATCTTTTTCCTTGTCCAACTACTTTTCCGGTTCTATCAAATAACATACTACTATTTATATTGTTTAATTTCAGTGTAGAAAACACGTAAATATTTTGTAAATGAATGTTATAATTATTCTTTTTAATTAAGCCCTGTTGTTTGTCTTTTCGCCGCTTATCTATTTGTTCATGGGTTCGTTGGTTCTCCTCTTTGACTTATGATATTTTATTGTCCCTTTGGTAGCTTCCATCTATATTTTAAATAGTAGCTCTTTAGTCCCAACGTGTTTTACTTACCTTATAGTTACTCTTCTAGGACAAACATTTGGAACTGTTAAATTCAGGGATGTACAATTTATCGTATCAACATAGAAACAAATAAGAAATACAACGTTTTTCGCAATAACCCTATACCGTTTCTCCATTGTTATTGTTTTGACTATGCTTTGATGACTATTTATTCCATAGAACAACGTGCATATTAGTACAGAACAATGACAATTTTAATGACGAATTGTTTCAATTATTATTTCCTCTTTGCTATATTTCATTGTTAAAAAAATATCCACTCATGTTTGCCTTCCTTTTGATTTTATTTAATCATTTTGTTTTTATTTTGAATTTTGTTAGACATAATAAACAGAATACCTATATTTTGGCATTACACAAGGTCGTGTTTTTTCTCTGAGGTCTTCACACTTAATCCATTGAAGTTGGATGTGAATTGATTGATGTTTTAGTCTTAAATAAACTATTTTTTATTAGTTGTTAATGGCTTTGAACCAGCTGTCAGTAGTTACTGCGAGTACTCTCAGATCTGTACTATGTGTATTTTATGTTTTCGGGATGTATATATACCCGGCTACGTCCGGTCTGTATTTTTTTGTTAGATGTTTATCTGCTTTGTATCGATCAGATGAGTTAAGCCCTTTTCGACTGATTTTTATGTGCTATTACACCACTGTCCCTAGTTACGGGGAGGGTTGGTGCCTTCAAACATGTTTAACCCTGTCACATTCTTTATGTGCCTGTTCCAAGTCAGGAGCCTGTAGTTCGGTTGTCGTTGGTTCATGGCTTTCATATATGTTTTTCTTAAATTGTTTTGTTATAAGTTAGGCAGTTAGTATTCTGGATTAAACTGTTTGATATTTTTCATGTCGGGGCCTTTTATAGCCGACTATACATCAACTCTATATGAAATTTGGTGGAAAGTTGTCTCATTGGCAATCATAACACACTCTCCTTAGTTTTGTATGCAATATTGTTTACCGAGGGATGAAGGGGGTTGTTTATGAAAACATGCCACAGTTCTACATTTGTTTCTATGAAGTTTAGAATGCCGGATGTCTACTGCATTGCGTAGAACATCTGTTTCTTGAATAATTTTCATCATATTGGGACCAAGCGTTTGCTTAAATAAGAAATGAATATCCGATAGTTTTAGTCGTTTTACCTTTTTTATATTCCCAATTGATCGTTATGTACTAAATTGATTTTTAAGAACGATAGCATTACTCGTAAACATTCTGTGAAAATGGCTACATGAGACAAGACCAATCTAATATATAAAAGTCAAAATGTCAAAAAGCGTTGAAAGATCTATTTGCTGGTAAACATAATTTAGTATTTTAGAAGTAGTAGTAGTAGTAGAAGTAGAAGTAGAAGTAGAAGTAGAAGTAGAAGTAGAAGTAGAAGTAGTAGTAGTAGTAGTAGTAGTAGTAGTAGTAGTAGTAGTAGAAGTAGAAGTAGTAGTAGTAGTAGTAGTAGTAGTAGAAGTAGAAGTAGTAGTAGTAGTAGTAGTAGTAGTAGTAGTAGAAGTAGAAGTAGTAGTAGTAGTACATATGGTAGTCTTGCTAAGTGAAGGTAGTAGTAGAAGAATAAACAGTGTCAGATATTGTTTACTTGAAATTGTCACTGAAATAATTTATTGTGGCTTACTCCATCACAGGACTTGCGTGTCCCTTTATTATGTGTCGAAAATACATGTGCACCAAATTTATTTTTACTCGTTATTGTACATCTATTTGTGACTATTGTATGAGTTGATGATACATTGTACATGTCATACTATATGCATAAAAAAGTATAAATAGCCGTAATCAAATATCAACATAATGATTTTCCTATTTCCTTTTATGTGGTGTGAAATGATCAAAGTCCATGACGAATGAAGTGAACTGTTGATATTTTCCCAAGACTAATTTGTGAATGACGTAGTAATTCGTATGCATACTTATTATGCAATATCACTTTAAGAAACAATAAGACCTTTACTGGACTATACAAATGTAGTACTGTACAACATTTTATCGATTTTAGCAAAAAACGGGAATAAACAATTCAAATTAAATGAGATTAAGTCAAAATATCATGCTTCCGTCTTTCTTTGTGTTATGGTAGATAAAAGAAATAAGATATAATTGATTGAATGCTTTGAAATCAAGGTCCCTGCATAGATAACTGACCTCTTTTGCACAAAATCACAATTAGTACGAAAAGTTGTGATACTACATTAAAATAAATAAAATAAGGAAAATTGAGAGCCACATTGATATGAATAAGAGGATATATTGGATATACGTCAATTACACAGCAACGCAACGACTAAATAACCAAATATATAAAGAGGGCAACAAACTGTCTCCAACAATAGATTAGAAATGATGTGTCTACATTATTTATATCAAGCTTTAAATAGTCTGAGTCCATAAAATTTGTGATTAGATTTATCAGAACCAATCAAATATATCATTGTCATCGAACTCTCCAATTAACGAAAAACATTCAGATATGACATCCGACAAATACTGATGAGGCTTATGATTTTGGACAGTTAAGTATTATTCATATGACTATAAACGTGTAAGACACTAAATGAGTTTTTTTTTTTTTTTTTCATGTTTTTATTTTTTTTACTTCATTCGACCATTTAGACTTCAGTGGTTGCAATATTACTAGTATTATCGAGTTCATTTTTATGAATTTATCAAACGTTTACCAACGGTTTTCTGAAAGAAGTTTTTGTAGTCTTAATTTCCACTGTCAGGGTTATTTATAGTCAAAATCTAGTTAATATAAAAATAAGATGATGTTGTATAATTGCCAATGAGACAACACATTATCAGAGACCTAATGACATAGAAGTTAACAACAATAGGTCACCGTACGGCCTTCAACAATGAGCAAAACCCACACCGCAAAGTCGGCTATAAAAGGCCCCGAAATGAAAAATTTAAAACAAACAATTCAAACGAAAAAAAAATATTGGCCTGTCTTATGTAAAAAAAAACAATGAACGAAATACAAATATGACAAACAGCAACCAACGACAACCACTGAATTACAGGACCCCTTACTTGGGACAGGCACATACAGAATGTGGCGGGTAAACCATGTTAGTGGGCGACTAACCCTCCCCATAACAATTTAGACTTTAATGGTTGCAATATGATCGCTATTCACGATAACGTTATATTTCTAGTATTATCGTGTTCATTAGAAAGAAGTTTTTGAAGTTTTAATTTCCACTGTCAAGGTTTTTTTCATAGGCAAAATGTAATTAATATAAAAATAAGATGAAGTGGTATAATTACCAATGAGATAACTCTTTATCAGAGACCCAATGATATAGAAGTTAACAACTATAGGTCACCGTACGGCCTTCAACAATGAGCAAAATCCATACCGCATAGTCGGCTAAAAAGGCCCCGAAATGAAAAACGTAAAACAATTCAAACGAGAAAACTATAGTCCTGACTCATATAAAAAAAAAACAATGAACGAAATACAAATATGATATACAGCAACAAACGACAACCACTGAATTACAGGACCCTAACTTGGGACAGGCACATAGAGAATGTGGCGGGTAAACCTTGTTAGCGGGCGCCCAACCTTCCTCATAACCTAGGACAGTGGTGTAACAGTATAACATTTGAACAAACTATCAAAATCAGTTAAAAAGGGCTTAATTCATCAGATTGATGCAAAGCAGAAAAACAAGCAACAAATACTCAGATCAGACGTGGAAGGGTATTTATATATCCCTACAACAAAATAGACACTAAGTACAGATCTGAGAGTACTCGCTGTTACTGACTGCTAGTTCAATGCCAATAACAACTTATAAGAAAATCATGGATGTTTAGGCCGTTTTCACAATACTAAGAGTACGGTGTTGTAAGCTGACGCTGTCAGTTGTACCGTTTAGTATTGTTTGTGATTCCTGTTATCCTTTGTAACAATGTAATAAGATTGCGTATATTTTTTGGTTGAGATCATTTCTGGTAAAAGGGAGATAACCCATTTGATTTATGTTCTGTCTACCCATTACAGATGTATGTCCTAAGTTAGACATGCATGTAATTTATGTCGCTTCGGCAGACGTCTCTATTAAAAATTCTTTATCAATGGACTTTTTATGAATTAATGTATGACCTCTCAAGATTGATGATAAAACTTATGAAAATAATGGTATTAATTATTTTTGGAGTGTTAAACATTCTTTAGAGGTTTTAGATAAAATACATGCTTTTGGTGGTCCTTTTAATTCTGTTGACAGTTATGATTTTTCTACTCTCTATACTACACTTCCACACAATCTTATCAAGAAAAGGTTTTCATATTTAACTAAATGGTCTTTTGAAAAATCTCATTACACATTTATTTGCTGTAACTCGTTTATAGCCTTTTTCTGTGACGAAAAAGGACAGTATGCTAGATACACTTACTGGAAATGTGAAGATATGATTGAAGCTTTAAATTTTCTCCTGGACAACATATATGTACGTTTCGGCGATAAAGTGTATCGACAAGTAGTAGGTATTCCTATGGGCACTTAATGCGCCCCTTTAATAGCAGATTTATTCCTGTATTGCTATAAATCTCAGTTTATGACCAAACTCAGTAAAGACACGTCATTGTTACATTTGGTTGATACATTCAACAATACCTTCCGTTATTTAGATGATATGTTTCGTTAAATTATCCAGAGTTCTCTAAATATACTACAGAAATTTACCCAATAGAACATATTTTAACTAAATCTAACATAAACAGCAGTAGTTGTGCTTTTCTAGATTTGGACATTTCAATCTCTAAAGGAAAACTTGCATACGAAAATTTACGACAAAAGAGACTTTTCATTCCCTATTGTTAATTTTCCTTTTTTAGACGGCGATGTTCCTTTGGCTCCTTCATACGGTGTTTATATATCCCAACTCGTTCGTTATGCCCGTGTGTGTAGTGTTGTCATAGATTTTAACGAACGTAATCAATGCATCACTGGTAAATTATTAAGTCAGGGATTTGGTTACCATAAATTACGTAAAACGTTTACCAAATTCATTCATAGATACAAAGATTTGATTAGTAAATTTGGCTGTACCTGTAGAAAACTGATTAAAAACGGTATTTCACATCTTAAATTTTACGGTAATATTGTACTTAAAGCGCGGAAATCACTATGTGATCCGTGTTAACTCATCGAACCTGTAAACAAACTTATTAGTAAAGGTTATATTACCAATGTTGTAATTAGATCTTCGAATATAGTTTACATTGGCACTAATATCGATTTTGTCATCAACAAATTAAAACATAACTAAGCTTTTATTCTTTTCTAACGGGATGTATAAAGACACACCCACGTTCATTTTTATCTATAAAGAGGTTAAACTTCTAACTATCCTACTGCCTGTCGTTACATATTTTTTTTTTTTTGGCATTGCACAAGTCATGTCTTCTTTGACTGTCCATGACGTTAAAATACTAAATCCCTGGGATGTGTTTTAGTTGATTTTAGTCTCTGATGCATGATTTTTTATTATTAATTGTTTTTCGACTTTTAACTAGCTGTCAGTAACTGCGAGTACTCTAAAATCGTACTTTCTTGTTTATTTGACCTGTTGATACTAATTGTAATGTTTTTTTTTTTTGTTATTTAATGTTATTCAGGGTTATATCTGGTCTATATATCAGCTTTGATAAGTGTTTGGTATTACTTTAAATTTTCACTTCGTACTATGAACATCAAAATTATTTATTTTGTAAAAATATTTCATTTCTCTATTTGAACTATACACGTATACCTAACAACAAAATTATGTTCATTTACCTGTGTTCAAAGTAAAGGCAAATGGCTGATATTTTTGTTCGAGCATATTGTTTTTCTTAAATTGTTTAACATTTCATATATATAGCGGTATAACATGTTACTTTTATTATTCTTCCCTTAGTTTATTTATTTTGTATTTACATTGTATCATAGGTCAAATTTATTTGTTCAGTGTTTGTTCACTGGTGTTAATATGTCCTTTGATTGAGTTAAGCTATTTCAGTTGATATTTTATAGTGTGTCTTTCTATGTTGTGATGTTACACTATCGTTTCAGAAAAAGGGTGAAGGTTTTGGTACCATTCAAACGCTTAAACCCGCTGCAATTGTTTGCACCTGTCCTAAGTCAGGAATCTGATGTTCAGTAGTTGTCGTATGTTGATGTGCATGGTTCATAAGTGTTTCTCGTTTCTCTTTTTTTATATAGATTAGACTGTTGGTTTTCCCGTTTGAATGGTTTTACTCTAGTAATTTTTTCGGCCCTTTATAGCTTGCTGTTCGGTGTGAGCCAAGGCTCCGTTTTGAAGACCGTACTTTGACCTGTAATGGTTTACTTTTATAAATTTTGACTTGGATGGAGAGTTGTCTCATTGGCACTCGTACCACATCTTCTTATATCTAATCTAATAATATTGTAGTGAATATGATTAGGAATTAAATGCAACTGTCGCATAGACTACAATTATAAACAAGTACTTCGTAGACGGGATTGTCTGTTCTATTAAGGCCTTTTCTGTGCCTTTATTGATTATTTTGTTTGCCTCCTACGTTTTGGCCCCGATCATGCCTGAATAATGTCCAGACGTTTGTTTTTTGTACATAGAAATCATATCAACAGGTGTGAATCTCCGAGACTAGTACAAATCAGGAAATTGTGAAGCAGAAAAGACCAGCACAAATTCTGGAGTGGACGGAAGGATTCGACCTGTTTTTTTTTTTTTTTTTTTTTTTTTTTTTGGGGGGGGGGGGGTGTGTTTCCTGCAATTTATTCCAGTTAATGTATTTGATATCAACTAATGGAACTCCAATCTTGAGAGAGGAAAATCACTGTATGACGAGTTTCAACCGGATTGTATTGATAAAACCTGTGTTTTGCAGTTGAGGAATAGTAAGGCAGTACTGCAATGGAAAATGGGAAGAACAATATTAGCATATATTATTCAGGTTTGAATAACAAGAATACAATTCAATTGAAAAAGTCGTGTATTTATAGATCATCGTTTAATATTACTCTTCACCAAATGAAGCCTTCGACATATAAAACGTTTGAGAGCATAACAGCAAAAAGGTTTTAAAAGCTAACTCCGTACGGGATCAGTTTTGCACATGGGGGTTAACGTTCCGATTTAGTTTTATCACAAAATCATTATTTTATGACATTGAAATTGAAAAGCAAAATCATGTCATCTTAAAACATTATAGATAACAAGAATATTTGAATACTTTCAATTTGCGACATCTATAGTGTCTGTAATAGTAAACAGATTTGAACAACTGATAACCCTCCTCCCCAACCCTAGTGCACAGTATGGGTTTAGATAGTCATTATCAGCATTTTGAAGAGAACAGTAAGGACTGAGATACTGTTCCTCATACATGCATAAATTTGGAAGGGATTTAGCAATATAAATATGTCTATGGTTCTCTTCTGTTGTTTGCTGACATTTTTTCTCTGAGTTGTAGTTTCCGGTTCCAACGGAGTTTACTCTCGTCTGATCCCTGACCTGGTCATCATTTATTTCGCAGTAAATAGCATTTTGATATGTTTGATCATCGACTATTTCTCTATCTAGAAGGCTTTGTTGGAACTGCTGTTTATGTTGTTTTATAAGGACGAAACATGTAAATAACAGCATAGGCATGACAACGGCCAAGAAATTCGCCAGTTTAATAAATGGGACACTGCAAATAAAAAATAATAATTACACCAATGTATACGAAACAAAGGAAATCTATCATAATGCTGATAATAATTCAACGATTCAAAATCAAAGTCGAAAGAATGTTTGTCATTGTTTACTTTAGTTCTGAAGAATGTCTTCGTCATTACAACAAACAATTCAAGAGGTAGCCAATATACATTTCATTCCTACATAGATTATACTTAATTTAATAGTCTTTCCACTCCCCCTCCCCCTTTTGTTTGTTCTCGTTAATATATATCAAATAGTTTGTTTAAACCAAAAATAATGCATGGTTTAGTTCACGGTGTCATAAATATGTCAGTCATTTTCCCTTTTTTTCTTCCTCAAGTTTAAGTCTTTTAATTGTCTGTTACATGTATTGATGAAGGTGTGTTTTGTACAATACACAGAGCATGATTAATTAATATTTTAACATAGATAGACAATTATCTCATGAGAAACATCCTTGGGGCTCAGGGAATTTTTACTTTCTCCATTGGTATTTTCAGCAAATATCCTACCTAAAAGTGATATACCTGTTCAAAATGTTTTGATTTGCATTGAGTTTTTTTATAAATGTATCAGTATATTATTGATTGTAAAAGTATGGATGCACAAAACAAAAAAATATATCAAATATTTGCTGGGATTGTGAAAATTATATCTACAAGAAAGCTTAACTAAAACTATTTCGTTGCTATTTTACTACATTATCATTGTTTTCTGGAAAGAGAGTAGAGAATTTTGAATAAATTCAGCATTTTCGTAAACTATGTGCATATTATGACGTAATTTCACATCACAGCGTTATCAATATTTTCTAATTCATTTTCTTTTGTTCATTTTATGTATCTCCCTATATTATGAGAACATGTGTAGTAGTTCTCTAATTTTCAATTTTCTTTGACTGGCTACAAATGAGCCTTAAAGATCCTTCTCTTTAACCTGTTTAAGGTGTAACTCCAAAAATGGTAAAATATTCTACCTGCGCCCTTGGGGTGTTTGGCAGATAACCTTGCGACCTGACGTCTCTTAAAATGAACTTGTGACCTTTACAAATGTTCATTTTTTTTATTTAAATGTTATATTTGAATAAACAGAAATACTATCGTATGTTTTTTGCTTATAAAATCAACAATTACCTTTGTGTATTAGTTTGCTTCTTCGGAGCAGGTTCTTTCGTTATGTTTTTGCACGAAGTTCCGTCTCTACACTCGCATATTCCTGAGCGTTGGTTACAGAATGTATCGTTTTTACATAAACAGGTCTCAGAGCAGTTGTAATTGTAACTAAAGTTATAGAAACCCTGGTGGCATTCTGAAATATATAGGGTATGTTCAAAACTAGTGTTAAACAATTCAGGTAAATCTACATGATGTGCATACTATATTTATTAAAGGAAACACAAAAAGACAAACCCTTTTATCAATTTATTATTTATCATTTGTTTTGTGATCTCCAAACCATCCTGCAGAGCATTAACAAACCCTAGTTGCCGGATCACACTTATCTTCATTTCTCACTGCAATTCAAACCGTATCATCCTAATGGACACGCTTCAATGAGATAAATAACAGATTTCATATTTACTACTTATATACACAAGCACACTAGTAACTATTATCACAGAAAATATCACATTTGAAGGTAATTTAACTTCATTTTTTTCAAATACGCTGTGAGTACAGACAGTACTAATATTTCTACTCGTACCAATCTCGAGGTACCAATATGAATAAGGATGCGTAACACAAACATCGTATATGTCTTGTGCACAAGGCAATTTATGAGAACGTATTTATTTTGAATAATTCCATTCAACATAAAAATAGACGTTTACGCATGCATTCAACACCTGTTACACAGGCTTCATTGTACATTAAATGAATTAATCAGATAAGTATAGTTATAAATAGTTAGTCAAATATCAGTAATTAATGAAAACTATTTACCTACCATTTGAGCATTTTGAACCGGTAAACCCTGTATCCCAAACACATGCAGCCAAGAACTGGGTCACACTTCTTATAATCTATACAGTTACATAGCTTTTTGCACTGAACACCATGATAATTACGCAGGATCGACTATTAAGCGAGTATATACGGTACATGGCAGAGAACAATATCGCCCATATTTTCCTGCTGGGCATGCTAAAGAATTAAGATTTTAAAAAGTATAAACATATATCAACGTTTATAAATGTTGAAATTATAAAGAAACCAAGGTTTCAACTCCCTCAGGCAAAGCTGACCTTAGATGGATTTGGCCTTTTTTATAGGTCCTTTGGATTATATAGCTCTTCAATTGTTTCGGTTTTTATACATCCTTGCCTTTCAAATATTCGGCTTTGAGCTTTTCTGATGAAGGATAATCCAGACAAGCGCTTCGGACACATGAAATTTATGTTTTCAGTTTTTTGTTTTTGTTATTCAGATGGACAGAGCAACAAGCTCAAAACATACAAACGAACAAACAAAATAAAATAAAATGAGAAATAAACAAATAACTTAAAAATATACTTTTTAGATAATTAAGTATGCAAACATAGTGATATAACTTATGCAAAAGAGTTTGATGAAAACAAAATCAACAATTGCATTTTTTCAACTGTGTTTCACGTTCTTTGTTCTAAATGACAGTTTAGTGATGTTCATTACCAGTAGATTAATCAGCAGATTGGTTTGCGTTTTAATGCAAATGCAGTCCTTCGCTCAATCAAGAAAAATTCTGTGAGACATTTTTCAAACATTTACATACATTTATATCACTTAACGTTGAAAAGGTAAACTTTAAAAGATGTAAAAATTTAAATACACAATAAAAAGAGACCATTTTACTTTAAACAAAAATACCTTGACATTTTCCATTCTGGTTAACAAAATCCGGACAACACTTTATTATTAGTTGTGTTTGGTTAACAGAATGACTCCTAAAAATTATAAAAAATCATATTCAATTCTATAACTGACGCCGAAGTTTAGGATAGTGGAAAATATCTACAACCAGGAATTTTTTTAGTACGGCGACTGTTCAGGAAAGCATTTTACTTGTGTGAAGATAACCAGTCATGTCAGACTTGACTGTATAAAATAAATCCATTGCAAGCTTTTGCAAGAAAGAAAAATTCCCGTTATAAAAAGCACACATTTATAGAAATTTAACGATATGTGCCAGTGACAAATCCAATAAATGATCCCTGAGGGGTCCTCCGGAAGCATGCTGAAAGTTTTAATTTTACTTCGAACGTCTTTTTCCTTGTCCAACTTTTCCGAACCAACCAAATAATACACTATTTATACTGTTTTTTTATTTTAGTGTTGAAAACACCTGAGGATTTTGTAATCTAGTCACGTGACATTTTTTATAAGGCTCTATTTTTTGTCTTTTTCGTCGTTTATCTATTTGTACATGAATTCGTTGGTCCTTCTTTGATTTGTTTGTCCGTTAGGTATCTTCCATCTATTTTTTAAATAGTAGCTCTTTCATTCCAACGTGTTTTACTTACGTTATGGTTACCTTTCTAGGACAAACATTTGGATCTCTTAAATTCAGTGGTATACAATTTATCACATCAACATAGGCAAAAATAAGAAACACAACGTTTTTCGCAATAAACCTGGAACGTTTCTCCATTGTTATTGTTTTGAATATGCTTTGATGACTATTTATTCAATAAAACCACCTGCATATTAGTGCAGATAAATGACGATATTAATGACGAATTACTTCAATTAGTATTTCCTCATTGGCATATTACATTGTTCCACTCACGTTTACCTTCCTTTTGATTTTATTTAATCATTTATCTTTTATTTTGACTTTTGTTAGATTTGATAAACAAAACATGTTTTACAGAGGGATAAAAGGGTTTGTTTTATGAAAATGGATTTTTTTCTAAAAAATAATATATATTTTTCATTTTCGTTTTGAGATTAATGGTACAGCTACCTTTTGAATAAAAGATTAAGAAAGAAAGAAAGCAGATACCGAAATACTTGTAGCAGTACTGTTATTATTGTAAACTTGAATTGAACAAGAAATAAAAATTTCTTGACGTACTCTATCACAGGATTGGGATTTTAGTATGTCCCTTTATTATGTGTCGAAAATACATGTGGACATAATTTATTTACTCGTTATAGTACTTCCATTAGGGACAATTGTATGATTTGATTATACATGTATATGCATAGAAAAATAACAAAAAAGACGTAATTCAAATATCAATATAATGCTTTTCCTATTTCCTTTTATGAGATGTGAAATGATCAAAGTCCATGACGAATGAAGTGAACTGCTGACATTTTCCCATGACAAATTTAATTATGATGTTGTAATTAGTGTACATGCTAGGTACTCATTCGGCTATATCAATCTTTCAGAAACAATAACACCTTAAAGTTTGCTGGACTTTGTAAAAATGTGGTACCTACAACATTTGATCGATTTTTGACATTTGGCCAAAGAAGTGAATACACAATACAAATTATATGATATCAAATCACAATGTCATGTTTCCGTATTTCTTGGTTTTATGGTAGATAAAAGAAACAAGTTGCTTTTTTAAAAAAAAAAGACAATACGTGACCTTAGAACTTTTTTATTCTGATTATTAATTCAATTGAATAAGAAATTATATATCAGTGTTATCTTGACCATGTGTGTGGAGGATAATATTTTCTTTTTATTATAAATCATTACAATTTTGGCATGTTGAGAGAAGTGTTAAATTTAAAGCAAGGAGAGAAAAAAAAAAGATTTCCAGATGTATAACTTCTTAAAGAATAATAATAATTAAAAACATGGAGGACACATGTACCTTCTTCCAAAAATTCATTAAATTAATCTAGAAATAAGTAATGAGTCATTGCGAACTGGTCAGCTAGAAGGACACATTAATGTTCGTTACCGACCAATCATCAATAAGTGTAACTCTCCCGCGAGAGATACTTACTTGATCTAATTATAAATATAAAAAGAAGATGTGGTATGATTGCCAATGAGACACCTCTCCACAAGAGACCAAATGACACAGAAATTAACAACTATAGGTCACCGTACGGCCTTCAACAATGAGCAAAGCCCATACCGCATAGTCAGCTATAAAAGGCCCCGAAATGACAAATGTAAAACAATTCAAACGAGAAAACTAACGGCCTAATTTATGTACAAAAAATGAACGAAAAACAAATATGTAACACATCAACACACGACAACCACTGAATTACAGGCTCCTGACTTGGGACAGGCACAGAATGTGGCGGGGTTAAACATGTTAGCGGGATCCCAACCCTCCCCCTAACCTGGGACAGTGGTGTAACAGTACAACAAAAGAACGAACTATACAAATCAGTTGAAAAAGGCTTAACTCATCAGATGGATACAAACAGAAATACTACACAGAGTGGACGTGGCCGGGTACTTGTATATCCCAGTAACAAATAGACACTAAGCACAGATCTGAGAGTACTCGCAGTTACTGACAGCTAGTTCAAAGCCACTAACAACTAATTAAAAAAATCATGCATCTAAGACTAAATTATCAATTAGTACACATCCAACATCCAATTATTGAAGAGGCATAACTTTTACATTCAAGATACAAAAAATTTCATTAATAAAATAGAGTCACACGAGGTAAAAAAAAGTATGCATTCTTATTGCCTATGATGTACGTCAATGTAGACAAATATGATCATTGACAATCTAGAAGAAATTGTTATTAATGCATTAGAATTTATTGACACACAGGAGAATATACTTTAAAGATTCTCAACAAAATAGATTAAACTGCATTTGTTAAATTAATTCTTAGAAACAATGAATTTGAGTTTAATTGACTGTTATACAAACACATTATAGAAGCGTACCAACCAGGCTTATTAATTTGTACTCATTAAAATCTTAGATAAGTTCCAATGGAGAGAAAACATCAAATTACATTATCAATATAGGGATGACGGTTTTATGGTTTTCACAGGCTAATTAGAGCAAGTTGAAGATTTCTTTAACCTTGCAAACGAAATTGACCATCTACTTAAGTTCTAATATGAGGTGTCGACATCTAGTATGGCCTATTTAGAGGGTGGTAAAGGGTTATTTTCGTGCAACGTTTTCGGCCTTTTTATTTCATGTGTTTCCGTGTTTCGACGTTTTATTTGTCGTTTTCTCGTGTTTGGTTCGATGTGCGTGCTTCGTATTTTCCCTTAATTATTTTCCGTGTTTCGTGTCGGTACTCTTATTTTCTCGTGCTTGTCCCGCATTTGATTAAAAAGTAAACCGGGACTAATTCAAAGTCAGCCCAACTATTGTTTTAAATTATAAACTAATTAACTGGTCCCAAGATATTTATTAATAGCCTATTTATTACTATGATAAATCGGATGCAACTAACGGACGCTAAAAGGTGACCACATGCAGGGTCGCCATGTCCATTTATAATGACTGCATGATCTCCAAGAACGGCTGCGTAATAACTGTTGGTACTTTTTTCCTTAATATTTACGATTTTATTCCTTGGCTTCGTTTTTCCAGAGTGTTTTTTTTCTCCGTGCAACGCTTTTGCGATTTGTTATTTCACGTGTTTCCGTGTTCAGACCCTCCCTTTTACCACCCTCTATTTAGATACCGAAGTGTACAAAAGTGAACGATTCCATAATAAAGGAATTCTTGATGTTAATTAAGTCACATATATTAAAAACACAGAAACGTATCAACATTTACCAATCACTAGTGCACATCCAAAATACACATAAATTTAAGAGCATTACAGTGTGTGAATAATATAAGAAATTTCTACTTCTACCACTAAGTAACCACCGTCATTTGGTTGACTTCATCCTGTCACTGTTTGGTGTGCGCTTGCATACTTAACAAGTCCAAAAATGATTTTAACAGAAAGGAAATAATTTGTGCTGTACATACATGTAACATTTATACATGGTGCAAATAAAAACATGGGACTTGAAATTTTATGTGCATGCAGTAGTCTCTTGAACGAGTCAAGACTTTCTGCAGCGGTACCTGAAATAATAGTGACATCAATGAATTAAATAAACATTTAATTAACTTTCAAGATAACTTAATTGATAGAGAATACTGTAAAAAGGAAACAGTAAAAGTTGTAAAAATGTATATTACGAACAGTCTTTATTTTACTTGTTTTATTTTCATTTGAAACAGATTTTTTTATCTGATTTGTCAAAATGACAAGTGTGCATAATGATTTTATTGTTACAAATCAAATCCCAAAAGCCCACTAAAGCTATAACTCATTATGTAGAAACCACAGCACTATTTTAAAATATCTCTCTGTGAATATCTAGACACAGATGGTTGATACCATAGGTCGTTATAATTAAATCTTGACCATTTAACTTTCACTTGTTTATCAAAGGGTACAACTGTCAACTTTGCCCAAGTCAGTAAACCCTTGCAATGCATAAAATGTAGCTTTACAATAAATAATTAAATATACATGTTTGAAAAGGATCTATAGATTGTTTATTATCATATATCAGATAAGTGAATTAGCGATCTGTGAAAATTCTTTATTGCCATGTTTTAAATATCTTAGATACACCGTATGGAGGTGCTCTTAATTGCAGGAAGCTAATACAGATAAGATGAATAGGTGTTCCGAATGAACAATAATTTAGCTTCCGAATATTCCTCCATAGACTATATTTCTAACTAATAAATCTGCGTGAACCCTCAGGGGTTCACGCAATAAGATATAATAGATAGAATGGTTCAAAATCTAGGTCCCTGTGTGCATAGCTGACCTCTCTTGCACAAAATCACACACACAAAAGAATACTAAGAGTCACATCAATATGAATAAGTGGATAAATGAGATATGCTATATATATCGCACGCCTTTTGCGAATTAACGTATATAATTCACGAAAAGCGTAGCTTTGAGTGGATTAAATATGATGATGAGTAAGGCGTGGCTATATATGATTTGTAACATTAATAGGCGATGACACATGTCAAAGGTAAACTTAAATGTACTTTTCATGAGTTAAACATGTCCATGAAATAGTGGCGCTTTCTATAACAAAACCTCTCTTATTTTCAGAAAATGAACTCGTGGGTCGAATTTTTTTAGTAGGATATGATGGAATGATAGATTCACATGTAAATGAATTGTTGCCGTGATACTTTCATCAAGGTTTAAAGACTATAGAGCGATTTATGTATTATTGACATGCCCCCCCCCCTCTCACATTGGCGAAAATTCTTTTTTTTTTTGGGGGGGGGGGCGGGGAATAGATACAAAATCATGTTAGATGTATACCATGATGCCTGCTTTCAAAACCAAAAGGACGTGTATTTTAAGAAGAGGTTTACAAGTTTGGCTAGTGTGAGGATAAGCGCCCACCCTTTTTTCCCGATTTGTTTTATATATATATATATATATATATATATATATATATATATATGTATAAACGCCTAAAAAGTGTACACAACAACACTTTTTAGGCGTTTATATAATTTATTTATTGTGTACATGTATCGTTACTCGTAACGATCCAGCGCCCTCGTGGTAAAAATCGTTGACTATTATTTAGACGTTTTATATATATATATATATATTGTTGTGTCTAAGCTCCTTCCATTCTTTGCCTTTCCTGTGACAAGCGACACACGACGGGGCTGGATAGTGCAATAACTAAAAATCTTTCAGTTAACGCACTCCTCTAAAAATAGCAGAAATTATCTCACTCGAAGATCAAAGGAAAAATTACCATTCATGTTACAAACGTCAATTATATGGGAGACGGATTTATTTAAGTTTTTCTAAACTTGTTTCCGAATCCCATATTTGAACTTTATCTAACATTGTATTGTAATATTTTATTCTTGTAATTTTTCATGAATTAATACTGTTTAAACTAATTATACAGCAACACAACGACAAATGTAACCAAATAAATAAAGAGGGCAACATACAATCTTTAACAATAGAAATGTGTCTACATAATATATCAAGCTTCATATAGTCCAGAGTCCATAACATTTTTGAAAAGATTTAACAGAACCAATCAATATATGTCATTAACATCCAATTCTCCAATTATCGGAAAACATTTTATAAATAACACATAGCTGAGAGGGTGATAGAGCAGATTGTTACCCCGAGAAAACATTGTCAACTGAGGCGAAGTTGATGTATGTCATATCTTATTATTATACTTCACGTAAAAATACAATATTTTGATTGGCTTATACGAGGGTGTTAATTTACTCTATTCTATGGTAAATACTCTATTACCCTTCACGGAGACACTTGATCAGGTGTGCGCTTTATTAAATACGACTCTATCCTATGGCAAATACTCTATTACCCTTCACGGAGACGCTTGATCAAGTGTGCGCTTTATTAAATACGGATGACAATCCTATGAATTAGTTATAATATTAATTATTTTGTAATTATTATTGCCTAAATTCAGTCATCTGTACATAATTAAATGTTTCCTTATGTTCTAATGTGTATATAGTTGCTACAATTATACCCTATGGGTAGTGCTCCACAATTAATGGAGGAATATACAAGAAACTGAACTGAACTGAACTATGTACAAGACGTCATAGTTTGTTACTTTGAATTTGAAATTTAATCGACAGTTATAACAGAACATTCAGTATAATAAATTGAATAACATTTATCTGAGAGGGTGATAGAGCAGATTGTTACCCCGAGAAAAGACATTGTCAACCTTGGCTTCGCCTCAGTTGACAATGTTTTCTCGGGGTAACAATCTGCTCTATCACCCTCTCAGCTATGTGTTATTTATATAATGACATACATCAACTACTGATGAGGTTTATGACAGTTACGTATTACTTATATGACTATAAACGTCTAATACAACTTAAGGGTGTTGGGTTTTTTTTTTTTATTTTATTTTACTTCATTCGACAATTTGGACTTCAATGGTTGCAATATGATCGCTATTCACGATAACGTTATATTTCTAGTATTATCGTGTTCATTTTTACGAATTTATCAAACGTTTACCAACAGTTTTCTGAAACAAGTTCTTTTAAGTCTAAATTTCCACTGTCAAGTTTTTTTTTTTATAGGCAAAGTGTACATGTTGTAGTTAATATAAAAATAAGAGGATGTGGTATAATTCCCAATGAGACAACTCTCAACCAGAAACCATGAGACATAGAAGTTAAAACTATAGGTCACCGTACGGCCTTCAACAATGAGCAAAGCCCATACCGCATAGTTGGCTATAAAAGGCCCCGCAATGACAAATCTAAAACAATTCAAACACAAAACTAACGGCCTGATTTATGTTAAAAAAAACAATGAACGAAATACAAATATGATATACAGCCACAAACGACAACCACTGAATTAAAGGACCCTGAATTGGAACAGGCACATACAGAATGTGGCGGGGTAAAACATGTTAGCGGGCGCCCAACCCTCCCCATAACCTGGGACAGTAGCGTAACAGTATAACATGTGAACAAACAGTTGAAATAGACTAAACTCATCAGGTCGATAAAAAGCAGAAAAACAAGTAACAAAAACACAGATCAGAAATGGTAGGGTATTTATTCATCCCTACAATAAAAAAGACACTAAGTACAGATCTGGGTTTATTCGCAGTTACTGACAGCTAATTCACAGACAATAACAACTAATAAGAAAATCATATATATTAAGGCCGTTTTTATAATACTAAGAGTACGGTGTTGTAAGCTGATGTGGTCTGTTGTACCGTCCAGTATTTTTGATGATTCCTGTTATCCTATGTAACTATGTAATAAGTTTGAGGTTTATTTTTTTTTGTTGAGATCATTTCTGGTAAAGGGGAGATAACCCATTTTGATTTATGATCTGTCTCCCATTACAGATGTATGTCCTAAGTTAGACATGCATGTAAAATTATGTCGCTTCGCAGACGTCTCTACTAAAAATTCTTTATCAATTAACTTTTTTATGAATACATTTATGAACCCAAGATTGATGATAAAAGATGTCTAACCTAATAATATGGTATAGTCATGGTAAGGAATTAAAAACAACTGTCACTTAGTCTACAGTTATGGACAAACAATTCGTAGACGGGATTTTCTATTCTATTAAGGCACTTTTTGTGCCTTTTATTATCTAATTTTTTTCCTCCTATGTTTTGGCCCCGATCTTGCCTGAATAAGGTCCACACGTTCGTTTTTTGTACGTATAAATCATATCAATAGGTGAAAAAATCTCAGAGACTAGAAATAATACAAATCAGGAAATTGTGTAGCAGAAAAGACTAGCACAATTACCGTAGTTGACGGGAAATAAAACGATACAGCTCAAAATGTATGTATGTTTTTTTCGGAGGAGTCTACCAGTTTTTTTGGTTTGGTTTTTTTTTTGGCGTTTCCTGCCAGTTATTCCCTTTTATGGATTTGATATCAACTAACGGGACTTCAACCTTAAGAGAGAAAAATAACTATATGACGAGCTTCAACCAGATTGTATTTATAAAACCTGTGTTTTGCAGTTGAGGAAGAATAAGGCAGTACTGTAATGGAAAATTGGAAGAACAATATTAAACATATATTATTCAGGTTTAAATAACAAGAATACAATTCAATTTAAAAAGTCGTTTATGTATAGATCATCTATTAATAGTACTCTTCACCAAATGAAACCTTCGACATATAAAACGTTTGAGAGCATAACAGAAAAAAGTTTAAAAAGCTAACACCGTACGGGATCAGTTTTGCACAAGGGAGTTGCGATTTAGTTTTATCACAATACCATTAATTTATTGAAATTGAAATTTAAAAGCAAAATCATGCCATTTTACAAAATTTTAGATTACAACAATAGTTGAATACTTTCAATTTGCGACGTCTATAGTGTTTGTAAGAGTAAACAGATTTGAACAACTGCTAACGCGCCTTTCCAACCCCAATGCACAGTATGGGTTTAGATAGTCATTATCAGCATGTTGAAGAGAACAGTAAGGACTGAGATACTGTTCCTCATACATGCACAAATTCGGAAGTGATTTAGCGATGTAAATATGTCTATGGTTCTCTTCTGTTGTTTGCTGACAATTTTTCTCTGAGTTGTAGTTTCCGGTGCCACTAGAGTTTATTCTCGTCTGATCCTTGAGCTGGTCATCATTTATTTCGCAGTAAATACCGTTTTGATATGTTTGATCACTGATTGTTTCACTATCCCGAGGTCTGTGTTGGTACTGGAGTTTACATTGTTTTATAAGGAGGAAACACGTAAATAATAGCATCGGTATGCCAACGGCGGAGAAATTTACCACGGTAATAAATGGGACACTGCAAATAAAAAATGATAATTACGCCAATGTATACAAAACAAAGGGAAATCTAGCATTATAGTGTCAAGATTCATTCTTGTTTTTGTAAATTCAAAGTTCAGTTTTCTACTCTTCAAATCAAGGCCGAAAATGTTGTTTACTTTGAAAACACAGTTCTGAAGAATGTCTTTGACATTACTACAGACAATTAAAAAGTTTATCAATAGACTTTTCCTTTCTATGTAGATTATTTTTAGTTTATTTTTGCAGAAGTTTTGTCAAGTGAGTATTCTGGTTTTTTTTTTTGTTTGTTTTTTTTTTTTTTTTGTGTCTGTGTTTATATATAAATATATATATATATATTTACTTAATTTTTTTCCGGAATTATGTAAATAGCTTTAAGAAAGCTTCTCTTAACCTATATTGTTCTATAATTTGCTATACATGTGGCTAATAGTAGATAAGACGAATTTCATAAAGTCATCTTTTTCTTCATTTTCGTAAAATGTGTGGATTTTTTTTGACGTCACATTGTTATAAATCTTGTTACATCATTTACATTTTTTTTATCTTATGCATGACCCTATATAAATAGAAAATTTAAAGAAGTCCTCTTATTGTTCATTTTCTTTTGTTACAAATGCAAAGTAACGCCCTTCTCCTTTTCCACTTAAAGTTGTAACTGTGCTCTCAGAAATATTATAATTTGTTTTATGCTTATGAAATCGACTATTACCTTTGTGTGTCAGTATGTTTCTTCGGAGTTGACTTTTTTGTTATGTTTTTGCATAAAGTTTCGTCGCTACACTCGCATACTCCTGAGCGTGGATTACAGAACGTGTCGTTTCTACAGTAACAGGTATCCGAGCAGTTAAAATTGTAACTAATGTTGTAGAATTTCTGGTGACATTCTGAAATATACAGGATATGTTTAAAACTTGATGTGAAAGCAAATGTTAAAAAAATATGTGACACTGTAACTGGTAAATAGTAAACTAAATTAAAAAGGAAGAGCATCTTACTGTGCTGAAATTCGTCTATAGTCCAAACGTTTACATCCATTGGACTCTTTAGCAATCATACCAAATCTCCTTTATTTCATTTTATTTTTACAGGGGTATACTTTAACTTTTTTTAATATTAAGAACGTGTTTTAAAAATGATTCTGGAACATATTGTTTTTCTTTCATAACATTGAAAAGCACACAGGTTTTTTTTATATCTCCTGATATATATGTATAACACATAATCTATTGACCAAGACTATTGCAAATAGGTTTTTATTTTCAATTTCTGCAAAGATCATCCTTCAGTCAGTATTTAATTGATTGTCTGACGATATGAATAAAGGAGATACAGCTCCCTAATAACAAAGGAGGACAAACACACAGGTATTAATAAATTACCACTTAACCATATACAACCTTTGATTTCAAAATGTTAAGGCTTGAGCGTTCATGGTGAAGGTTTATCCAGATAAGGCTTCGGATGCACGAAATTTGCTTTTTTATTCTTTTTATTTTTATTAATTTAAGAATATAATTAAAAGTTATAGCAAATCGGTTAAAGGTTGGCTTACCGTTTGTAATATTGGCATTTTGTTCATTAAATCCTTCATTAAACACGCATCCCTGAACCGGATCGCACTTCTTATTATATGCACAGTTACAGTGTTGTTTACATTGGACCCCGTGGTAATTTGGCAAACATGGCAACTGACAATTTTTACCATATCTTCCGGCGATGCATGCTAATAAGATATAAACATAAACATAAAGGCTGATAAGTAATTTTTTTTTAATTCAAATTTCAAATAAAGATGTAAAATTTATCAAAAATTGATTAATGGGGTCATCTTCATGATATAGAGAAGCTCCTATGCATGATTTGAAGTGATTTTAAAATTGATTTGTTACTTTTCCTTCTTATTTTGCATTTGCACTGGTCGAAATTTCGGACTTTCTATATAAATTTTCGTTTCGAGTACCATTGATAAACATAAATGGTGCATTAAATGTCAGTATTATGCTATTTTACATAACACAGTATAAAAAGTAGGATTTTCATTTCGCCTTTTTTATTTTACACAATGAAAAAACGAAGATCAAGTACGATTAAAACATCTGAGAATACGGGTACAACATAATGGGCTTGATATGTTCAATGCAGATACAATATACTCTTCTTGACATGTTCATGAACAACAAACATACCTCTACATGTACGATACAGATACAATATACCTACCTTGACATGTTCCATGCAGGCACAACATGATCCTACCTTTAAATGTTTCATATAGATACAACATGCCTACCTTGACATGTTCCATGCAGACACAACATGATCCTACCTTTAAATGTTTCATATAGATACAACATGTCTACCTTATTTGACATGTTCCATGCAGATACAATATTTATGCCTAGACATTTGTGATCATTTGTCTTGCATATAAAGCATGCCTACAGTGTAGATCACTTCTTACCTCTCATCAAATCTGTCAGAATCTGTTCTAGGACAGTATGTAGAACTGCCATCCTGACACCTTTTAGACAGTTCTAGCTAGAACAGTTCTAACCTAGAACTGATTTTGTCAGTTCTACCTAGAACTGATTTAGACAGTTCTACCTAGAACTGATCCTGACCAAATCTTTGGTAAGTTCTACGACTAGAACAGTTCTACGGCTAGAACAGCTAGAATTGATTTAGTCAGTTCGATCCATAGAACAGTTTTAAGAACTCTTTGTCTTAAATATAAATAAGTCAAAAGAATATAATATATATTAAAAAAAAATTTGCGTGTGGCTTTATCAACGATAATAATAACACTGAATGGTGACGTCATTTAGAACTGTTCTACAATCCTGACAGGTTTGGTCAGTTCTACGGCTAGAACAGTTCTGCTGACAGCTCTACGGTTAGAACTGATTTGGATAGTTCTGCTGACAGTTCTACGACTAGAACTGATTTGGACAGTTCTACCTAGAACAGTTTTAGACAGTTCTACCCTAGAACTGATCCTGACAGTTCTACCTAGAACTGATTCTGTAAGTTCTACTTAGAACAGTTCTAGGGTAGAACTGTTCTAGGTTGAACTGTTCTAGGACAGTTTAGAACAGTTCTATGACAGATTATTCTGACAGTTCTAATGAGAGGTTAGAAGTGATCTCCACTGTACCTTGACATGTTCCATACAGATACAACTTGCCTACCTTGACATGTTTCATATAGATACAACATTCCTACCGTGACAGGTTCAATACAGATACAACGTTCTTGCGAAGACATTTTCTATGCAAATACAACATACCTAACATGACATATTCAATACAGATGCAAAATACCTAAATTGACATGTTCCATACTGATATAACATGCCTACATTGACAGATTATTTTTTTATGCAACATACCTAAATTACCTTGAAATGGTCCATGCAGATACATCATACTTATCTTGACATGTTCCATGCAGATACATCATACTTACCTTGACATGTTCCATGCAGATATATCATACTTACCTTGACATGTTCCATGCACATACATCATACTTACCTTGACATGTTCCATGCAGATACAACATTCCTTACTTGACATGTTTCATGCAGTTACAACATGCCTTACTTGACATGTTTCATGCAGATACAACATACCCACCTTGACATGTTCCATGCAGATACAACATTCCTTACTTGAGATGTTCAATACAGATACAAAATACATACCTTGATATTTTTCATGCAGATATAACATGGCTTCCTTGACACATTCCACGCAGAATCAACAAACCAACCTTTAAATGTTCAATACAGCTACAAAATACTCATCTTGACATGGTCCTCGGTGGCCGAGTGTTCTAAGTAGTCGAACTACTGTATCACTAGCATGTTAACACTGAGGTTTTGAGTTCAAATCCCGCACGTGGCAGGTGCGGTCGACTCCAATCTTAATTGACTAGGATTGTCTGTTTTCCTACCGAAGCTCGGTGATTCTCTCCTGCCACTCCATGCTTCCTCAACCAATAAAAACTGACCGTCACGAAACAGCAAAATAGTGCTGAAAGTGATGTTAAACACCAATCAATCAATCAATCAATTGACTAGTTTCATACAAGTACAACATACCTAACTTGAGATGTTTCAAGCAGATACAACTTGCTTAACTTGGCACGTTCCATGCAGATATACAATATCTACCTTAGCATGTTTCATGCAGAAAAAAACAAACTTACCTTGACATGTTCCATTCTGTACAGAATAATCAGGACAGCATTCTAAAATCATTTTCAGTTTGGATTCAAAAGGATTTCTTCAGATGAAAATAAATATAATTTATCAACAATAAAATACATGATAGTAATAATATCTTTTTTAAGTCTACGTCACTTATTTCTTTTAATAATTTGCTATTTTCCTCGGACTAACTTAATTGTGTTGATGATAAGCGGTAAGCTGCCATTTACTTTGGATCTGTATTTCATATGTGTGGAGAATAATGCGCGCATACCAGGAGATGCTTTCTCCATGAACGAATATACTAGTAATCTTATTCGATTGGATTTCATGCAATTCCAATTGTTTCACTCCCACGTACGTCTGTTTTGTAGCTGCGCTATTGAATGCATATACCCTCTTCAAATTTATAACATATATGAGTAAATGATACATAAATCTTGTCAATTCGATCAATTACTTACTTTGCAACTACCATTCTCGGACAAACGTTAGAATCTGATATCTTCAATGATATACAAACGACTTTAAAAACATAAAAACAAATGCAAAATACGATGGTCTTCATGGTAAACATGCGATTAATGGTACTTAACTCTATGAGGATACAGCTGTGATGCATGTGTATCATATTCCTTATAAATATATGTACATTATTTCCTCGTATGGTGTTGTAACCATTTAAAGTACAAATTTCTCTTTGGTTCTAACTAAACCAGTTTTGTATATGAGCTTAACAACATGTGTTAGTTCATTGAATGGTCAACGATTACATGCATAATTATGTATATAATAGGAAATATATCTGTTATTTCATAAAGACATACTGAAATAAAAGTTATTGTTTTAGCTCTCAAATGTTCCTTTAAACAATATAATGATGCATTTTCTCAAGACAAATAGACAAAGATAAATACTTTATTATTACCCTGTTAAATGACCGACATAATTGATTAAATTTTGTCCTGCAAAATATAGCCCAGTCCGAAAAGGTAAACGCAAAACTATTTTTGACGTTGTCACTTGACTATAACCTAATTGAACGAAAGAGACAGATGAGGAAATACTTAAAAACATAGATAGACGAAAAACAGACAATACCAAATCTAAAAGAAAAACGACGAAAATATAAACAACAAACTATACAAAACAAAAACTACATAGAAAACTAAAGACTGAGCAACAAGCACCCCAATAATAAAACGGGGTGATTTCAGGTCCTTCTGCTATAAGCACTTTAATTTAAGGATTATTTACAATAAACCAATGAGACCATTTAATTTAGATTCTCCAAAACAGTTATTGTCACAACTAAATAGGCACAAAATACACTTCTTGTGTGATTATAGTTTTGGGCGAGGGTTGTGCTCCATATTATTTCTTGGTCTCTGTAAGTCAAATATTCGTAATTTTGGTCAAAGTCACATTTCTGCTGAATTTGCTATATCGAGGTTAGGTGGTTCTGTATTTGATCATCGATCGATTCAAACCAAAGACTTTATGCTTCTTTACAGATCACGAATTCGAAATAAGATCACTGACTGATTGAATTTGGGCCAGAATAGTGTCCACAAGTAGGCTTATACATTCCATATCCTTATGTGGATTTATAAAGTGTAAGCCAGGAGTTGGTTTCACAAAAAAAAACTTACGACTAAAATTGATCGTAAGTCATGAACAATTCAGTATACTTACGATCAATCTTAGTCGTAAGGTTTTTTTTGTGAAACCGACTCCTGAACGTAAAAAAACTCATTTCCCTATATGATTCAATGGTAACACAGAAAAAGAAAAATGATATAGCAAAACGTATTTGTGTGTGGACCTTAAGTATAATCAACCAAGGTTCTCTGTAGTATATATAATTATCTCCGTCTAAGTGGTATAAATTCCCCACAATGCACATCCGTGATATTGTGTTGTATGTACAAATATATGTACGCAACCACGTTTGGTCAGATCTGCCACAACATCTCTGTTACTGTATTTTACTATAAGGAAAATAAATGCCTTTTATTGATGTTCAGATTTATCGAATTATATCGATTGTTTTTAGCCTAGGAGGCCGAGTGGTCTAAGACTAATTAACCTTAGTCTATCTCATCACAAAGGAGGATGGGAGGGGATCCTTCATTTCTGTACAAGTTACCTGTACGTTAGGGATCCATTTTTGCAACTCTTTAAGGGGTCCAATGCATGTTGTCATCAATAATTGCCCTGTCCAAATTAAAAAGATAGTAAAATAATTATGTATAAACCTGAACCTAAGTTATGTACGTCTGAGATTTCTTATCGCGATGAGGCTGACTGCGTTAGAAAAAACCTTCTTAAGATGTGTCTGTATATATTGTACAAACGTTTTAAAGGAGTATTTAGTTTTAATATGTTCTATTCGAAGTAAATGCAGTGTCTCAAAATATTCCAAGTTCTCAATTTATTTATTTTTTAGATATGCATTTAGATTGCAATATGATTCTCCCATGGAGGATGCATCATTTGACATGATATTGTTCATTCAATGTTTTGAAATTGGAACATTAATCCTGTTTCCTCTATTATCGTCATGATAATGATCTATTTTCAGAAATTAATAATGACATTTGTTTCCTTGTCAGGTTGACAAAAGGTCTGCGCAAACAACAACAATATCACAAAAACAGACTTTATTTCATTTGATAAAGATATTTTATTATGATAGGTTTATTTATTATAACAGGGTGTTTATAAAAATCGTAAACGAATATTTGTTTCATAAAATACATATACAGGCTGTCTGTTTTATTTAATCAACAAACAACTAACAATGACTTCGCTTTTGTTTGTTTGTTTGTTTGTTTGTTTGTTTGTTTGTTTGTTTGGTGCTTTGTTGGATTTTTCATGTGCTTGTAGTTATTTCTTGTCATAAATTGATACACCATTGATATTTTTCTTTAATCCATAATACATCGGTGTGGAGACCGTAAAAAGTGTCCCTGTTGATGAGGTGTGTGTGCGCTAAAATTTTGTATTTATGGCGTATCTATATTTGAGATAACATCTCGCATATTTGCTAAGGTTGCATTTTCTCGCGTTCGGCAAGTCCATTCGATTCTTTTTATCTATAATAATTTTTTTTAATATATGAGTCTCTGCTAGTTTATCTAACATATATATATATTTATGTGCTCAGTTGTTGTCTAAATGTTCGTATTTTCTACATTGTATAGTGATATTATCGCAATATATGGCTGCAGTATTTGTAAACTAATTTTGCAAGATATAAAATTCCTAATGTGTATCCCACAGCTTTGTTCCTCAATGCTTAGATGTTGCGTTCCCGAACTCCGGCTAAGAATTATTTTCAAGCCGGTGCTAGGGGCAGTCTTAAACTTGCTGTGAGGTGAGAAGTCTTGTTCATGTTGAAGGACTTAGTGTGACTTAGATTAAGAGCAGTTATATATCATTCTTCACCCCTGGGAATATTTAACTAAAAGTCAATATTTTATGTCCCGGTTTACCAGAAATATAAAAAATGGTCAAATAATATAAAAGTAAGAAAATGTCAATCCGAAATATTTTGCTCAACTTAGTTTTTGATGACGCCTGGGAATTAAAGGATTTTTAATATTATTTTAACATTATTATTTTCAAAATTATTCATTAACAGATGTCTGCGTCCCAAAAAAAATGTAGAGACGTGGTATGATTGCCAATGAGACATTCACGTAACCTCTAGTCTAAACAAACAATGGCTGTTCAATATAGTTTTTATAAGAATTCTTCGACTGCTTTATTAATTGTTTATATATTTTGATCTCTGGTGGAGAGTTGTCTCATTGGCAATTATACCACATCTTCTTATTTTTATAATTACAGGAACTCGTGCTGCCCTCAGCGCTGATCCATAAATTATATCAGACTATTTTCATACTCTTGATGTAACTATGTTTTTGTCGTTCAGAATGCGTGTGAAGGGAGATAATCATTGCATTGCTGTATACTTTCATAGCAAAGGATGACCCTATAATATATATATATCTGAAAATATTATATTTCCTTTTCAACATTGAGCTATCTTGGGTTTCTTTTATTTCTATTCTGTGTATCTGTTTATAGAAAAACATAATTATGTAACCGGTGTATAATATATAAACTTCAAGATTGAACATATCCTTGGAGCCAAGAAAGTAATTTATATCCAATAAGTTATTTATTAGAATGACTGACATACATGTAAGTAATACCCAGTGACCCTCTACTGTGTCATTCCACTGATAGACTATCTCGGAAATGATACGGAAATGATACATGTAAAGTGTCCTCGATCCTGTCAACGTACTTGAGTTGGCATTTGACATGCATGTCATTGCGAACGATCAAGTGGCAATTTCCTTATAGGGTTTCAATACAATATCAGTTTGCTGTGGTATTCATTTTCAACGAACGTAATTAAAATTAAATAGTTTCCATTCATTTCTTGCATGCTCACCTATTACAATATACACTTAATATTATATTAATTAAGAATTGTATTTCGAAAGCTTCTTTAAATTAATTTATATGTATAAATGTACGCTTGATTATTTTGTTTAATAAACTGGAATGTGAAGTATATGTCAGTGGCATAGCAATAGTTCAAATAATCAATATATTTATACCTAAGTAATCAAAGAAAATACAAAAATGAAGGACCCCCTCCCCATCCAGACCCTCCTTTGTGATGAGATAGGCTAAGGTTAATTAGTCTTAGACCACTCGGCCTCCTAGGCTAAAACAATCGATATAATTCGATAAATCTGAACATCAATAAAAGGCATTTATTTTCCTTCTAATAAAATACAGTAATAGAAATGTTGGTTTTATTAACTTATCTAGTATATTTAATGAATCTTCCATCCAAATTATTAGTTTCATAACATGGGACCATCTTTTATTTCCGTATAGTAATTTAACAAAAAGTACAGAAGATATGTTTTTGTTAGGGTTTTTTTTCTGATTATACGTCAGTATACCAGACGTAAGTATAGAAAATAAGACTGTGAAACCTGTAATCTAGATAATCATTATGATCCCGGTGTGTTATTACAGGAGAACTCAACATCGTTTGAGACTGACATGCTATAAACTTTCTGTTCTGGAAAAGGAGAAAACTATTATAGTTCTCAATTACAAATAAATTGGAAAGAGCGTCGTCAGATCATTTTAATAAATGGTGTAAAAGTGAAATATCTTAAAAAAATTCACCTGATTCTTATCTAAATAAAAAGTATGAATGTTGTGGACATCCGCAATTTGCCTGATTTCGAAATTATTCATGTACATAAAAAGGGTCAATAATACGCTATAACTAGATCGGAATTGTTATAAACTTTAGATACTCGCCAAGCGTTTTTTGCTCGCACCGGCTGATAAAGCAGCAGCAAACGATGTGGCAGTGGTATGACACAAATACTTTAAGGAAGTTTGAACAAAGGATATATAAAGATGAATACTTGTGGAGCTATATGACAAAAAAAAACTAAACAGAGGAAAATACAGAAAACGAAATTATATATAATATAGCTGTATTATACAACAAAAACACAAGTAAAAGTACAACACACACGAATAATACCTAATCAACGAATGAGAGCACTTTGGAAAGAAAGCCCGGAGGACTAAACCAGTTGATATGCAAATTATGCCACCCTTGCCTAATATCGATGGCTTTACTGCGGCACAGTAACCATACAGTAACGTCATAAACAGTAAAGGTAAAGGAAGAAAAGATCTTGCAATGACAAGAGTATAAGTCTGTACACAATTTCAGTTTTACTTAGAAAAAATAAAATAAATGTACTGTCTAAATTGGTTCATTAGTGTTTATCTTCAAAAATACTAAACACAATAATCGAACTATAAGAGTTTAAACATAATCCATAGCATATTAGTTACACAGATTGCTATTGATCTAATAAGATGCATACAGGGTCACTAAGTACATTTTACATGGGACGAGAGCGAACGAAGCGTTATTAACTGTTCAAATTAATGATTAGTATAATAATAAAAGTGTAGTATGATGACCAATGAGTCAAGAGTCTGCAACGATAGGACGGTGCGACAAAATGAGAAACTAACGGAGATACATGATAAGAGTATAAACAATCAAAACAAATATGACAATCAGAAACCACCGACAACCACTAAATTACAGGCTTCTGTCTTGGGACAGGCACAAAAAGAATGTATTGGGGTTAAACAGGTTAGTGAACATTCAACCCTTTCCATAATCTGGTACAGTGGTGAAACAGTACAAAATAAGAACACACTATACAAATATGTTGGAATTGGATCAACCCATCCGATCGGCACGAGGCACAGAATCAACTAACAAAAAGACAAAAGACACAAAGTACTGATCTTGGAAAACTGAGAGATTGTTTCCCCATGCAACTATTTTGTACTAAGATTTTCTTTACTATTAAAATAACACCGTGCGTGTCATAATCTCTCTGCCAACAGTTTATAATTGATATACATGCAACCGTTCAAAGTAAACTAAAACATAGTTACCAGTAAGACAATAACAAATATTATTTCATGTTCATTTGGCTTTGGCAAATAATTGGCAGTTGATACATTTTTCACTCCATGAATATGGAATAAAACAATAATTTACTCTTTTTTTTTTTTTTGGGGGGGGGGGGGGGGGGGGGGGGTAAATTTGAGGTTTAAGGTAGATAGGGTGTCTTCAGCCATCTTGGATTTTGAAATACCAGAAAACAATCGGTCTAGATCTTTGATAAAATGTGCAAATTTTGAGAGTAGTCGGTAATTCATGTGTAAGAATTTTCATTTCAATATAGAAAATGACATGTTTTATCATATTTATGGTTGTATTTTACAAAAAAACAGAATACTTTTGTTTGATTCAATTTTTTCCAACTTTGTCACATAAGGAGAGGCAACTCAAATGTAAGGGCAGATAATTCAGATAAAGTTACTTTTACAATAGAATGTGTTAGGAATTTACCTATTCTATTATGTAGCAAGAAAACGGGTCCCGTGACCCCATTTTTTCTTTTTCTTATCTGAAAGCATAATATAAGAGCTATCTTCTCATATTTTATCTCAAAATTCTATGGTGTAGTTTTCGTTTTATGGCAGAAAATTGGGTTTTGCATGCATAATCTATACAAAAATCTGTCAATTTTGCACAACCTGTAGCGTGAAAATAAGCCCCGTGACCCATTCTTTTT